TTGCAGAAACCTCAAATGGTATATACTTGACTTTTGACATTATCCATCTCCATTGGGATTCGAGGTGCAGTCGCAATCGCAAGCAACCAATGTTTGACCATGGTCATCCACCTCTCTCTCTCTCTGCACGCTCTCGTTGTGGTCACATATTGAGCATGTCTTGAATACGAGTATTAATGTGTTTTGATAGGTTGAACGGATATGAAATACATGCAATATTACATTTTCACAATTCGGGTGTTAACGAAAACCTGCATTGCTAGTATGTAGTCAAGGGATGGGATATTTTTTCGACCTGATCTTGAATGTGGAACCAAAAGATATTGCCTCCTCCCTCTACGAACACAGTCCGTGATACTAATTTAGGCCCGTTTTTCTAGTTTTCAAGATGAGATTAATCAAGATAAGATTATTGCAATTTTATCAAGGTTCAATTGTACATTTGGACTAGCTTGTCCAATAATATTCCAAACAAGCTCAATTAAAGTTAATGGATTAACGTCTTACGGGATAAATATGTCGACAAAATGTTGTTAGAATGTACGCTACATTATTGCAATGGTCTGGTGTTAGGATACTAATAAGAAAAGGTAGAATTGTGAAAAAATGAATTATGGAAAGCCCCCTCTAATTCGGACTATAGGAAGGGGGGGACCATGTTTAGTTGAAATATATGCCACAAATTCAGTGATTAATGACCTGGTCTAAGACCCATGATATATATATAAGTAAATGGTTCTTCCAACTTTTATCAACAAAGCCATCATCATCATCATTATCTGCATTAGGGACAGGACCACCTTAGTTTCTGCAAAACTCTAAATTATTGCAGTAAAAGTATTCACATTCAGCACAGAAAGAATTCATCAAACACGCATGAATCTCTCTCTCTCTCTCTCTCTCTCTCTCTCTCTCTCTGATGCAGAAAATTGGGATGGGATTAGATCCGTTTGGTTCCCTAAATAGGCCAATAGCTAGAGCCGACATTTCATATCAGATTGTTGTAACTTGTAAGCACTTTACATTGATGTGCCCATTCCACCTAATCACCACCCACAAGCAGAGTTAATTTCACCCACGTTAATTGCATGCCAATACTATTTTACTAGATGATTAGCATGTCATGTGATTACTTGTGTCTAATCAAACTTCAAACCAAACCTTGCCAATAATTATTTCCTCATATCAAATATGTGTCAAATCTAACAAGTAACTTCGCATGCTCAATGCCCACTTGACAAACTCTAGCTTAATTAACAATTGGAGATATCAAACAATAAGTGGGGAAGCCGGGATGGGGGGTGGGGGTGGGGTTTCTTTACTATAATTAATTGTTTTGTATTGTGTTTTCTATTGTGCTCCTTTATAAATAAAATTAAGGGCAAATTAGGGTCACCCTGAGGTATGACCAAATTATGAAAAAAAAACCCTCTTTTTTGGATAATCACAGTCACCCCCTCCATTTAAATATTTTTACATGAAATTTATGTAATTCGATTTGTTTAACGAACCAAATCGTATATTCAGTTCGGTTAGCGGTATAAAATGTTGGTGTACCGAAATTTCGGGTCAGTTTACCGATTTAACATCCCTAAATTTATCAATGGAGGGACTTTTTCGTAAAATAATACATAGTTAAGGCCTGAGGGGTGACTGTAATTACACAAACAAAATGGGAGTTTTCGTAATTTAACCATACCTCAAGAGGGTGGCCGTAATTTACCCTAACATTAATTATTTTTAATTGAAGATAACAAAGAAAAATAATAAATGAGGGTAACAAATTCGATAAGAAAGTTACAAATTGTGGCTCAATTGAAAAACATTCTACTATACTGTACCCTTCATATTTATTTAGTCCACCCAACTTTCTGATTTAGTTCACCCAAAATTTAAATTTATTCGAAAAGAAAATCCTAAAAGTTCTTTTTTTCTTTTTTTCATTTCATATCTGCTGATTTTGTCAAAAGAAAAACAAAATCCTAAATTTTTTTTAGGGGCTATGGCCCGGAACCTCTGAAAATTCAAACACACCATCTAACAAAATTTTACACTCATCATTCTTAAAACAATCATTGTTGTCATAAAGTTTTTTACATTATTTTTTAATGTATATTCGGCCCCCAGTGATAAAATCCTGGCTACGTCAAACAGTGTTTTTTTTTTTTTGAACATGTATAAAAAATGCGCATCATTGAACAATAATTAAAGTTGAAAATTGCAAGGGAACGAATGATTAGTATATTCCAACAACTTGTGTTTAATTAGTATTATACACATTCCACAAATGCAGAATAATGGAAAGACAATAATCTAAGGTTTTCCAAACAGCAAGGATAAACACTTTAGGCCCAAGATCTGCAGACCACTTTCTGCCCAAGAAAGATAAAATAGAGCACACAATTGTCCGAAAAACGAAGCATAGCCCAAGAACTTGCTATCGGAACAAAGGAAATCAGCTAAAGGCATCTCTCCTGTACAGAGGTACATGCATGATAATTAAGATTGTTGATTCAGATCCCGACGTACCGAAGATACCAGTCAAACCAAGCCAACCACACATATTTTCTCCATAATTATTTTCATAACAGCGTCGAAAATGACAAAATTTAAGGTCCGACACTTGTTTTATAACAGTTGAATCATTAGAATTATTCTTAGTCATTTATTCACAAGATGTTGACATATCCCCACTCTAACAAGCCCTGCTGCAAATTTATGTTTATTTTTATCAATGGTGATGCAACAAATTTTATCCAAACTGAAAAGGACGCGAATAAAAACCACAAGCATAATTCTTTCATCACAAGTAACAAGTCTGAACCATTGAATAAACCAACTAGAAAAAAAGGGTTGGTTCTTGAAATCAACCTATTTTCAGTGACTTAAAATTCAACTCTACATTATACTCTTCAACACATTTATATCACGCACATTATTTTTTTTTATTTTTTTGGCAATGAAGGAACCCGCTGCCAACCATATAGGTTGTGTTGTATGGATTGTAGTTGTTCTAGTACAGTTTAGAGTTCGAATGGAACTAATTCAACTCATAAAGCATAAAAGAAATTGGGCCAAAGGGTTACAAAAACATAAGCACAACAAATGGCCCATCAAGCAAAATAACTACACGAGATAACGGGCTCAGCAAACTGTGACAAACAAATAAGAAATAAAGAATAGACAACAATGCTTTCAAACAAGTCCAAACGTTCGATCCTACAATTTGCGTAACAGCGAAGAAATTTATATTCCTTGCTCACGGAATTTGTCAATTTGAAAGATAGTAAACTGTTTACCTGTATGCAAATAAAAAACAATTGCTAGTGATGAAATTTCTTCATAGAGTGTTCTGGTGGTGTCGAAGTTTGCATTTCATACGAAATTATTTGCAAGCAGCAATATCGTCATTTAAACTTCAAATATTGTGGGTAGGTAGTTTATCGCCTTAATTACAGTTTATTAGAGGTTTCTCAGCTATTCCCAGTGTAATACTAATTTCGAATCCGTACATGTAAGGTAAGTACTAATTCTTCTTGAACTCCTTTCATTTCCTTCATTCAAGTTTGAAGAACACTCTTCATTGCATTGGCATTCCGATTCCGTTCCATTTAAACAATTTGTTGGTGAAATTTCTTTCACAATCTAACACAGGCATAAAGTAACTCATCCATAAACCGTAATAAGCAAAAGTATGCAAACTACAATCTTTTTACATGCTTATCAGTTATCACTCGTCTTTTAGAAGCATGGTTATAAATATTAGGCAGTGCACTTCGATTTATTTGAAACCCTAAATCACCATCAAATTACATAATGTTTATTAATTAAACCTAGAAATTGCCTTTTGCATAGAAATTCGATTGAAATGGTCCGACTGGGAGCAGTTTCAGCAAAAATCGTGATTATACGTGCCTTACGAGGATACTTTTTTAACAGTTATGTGAACATGATTATTAACAATAAAAAGGGATCGGGTAGGGTAATAACAGGCAATTAACTTTCTTTAGTTAGCAAAGATTTCATATTTGCATGGTTCTCCGTTTCAGTTGGATTAATTTCCACATTGACTTGTATTAGACTATATACGCTGTGTATAGGAGATATAATTCGTAATGGTGATTCCCTTGCACCCGTAACCGGAACATTAGAAAACACTTTCACCGAGAGTCTATTCTAAGAATGCTTCCGGAATAACATCAGCAACACGTAATCAAATCCACGTGCACTAAAGAAAAATATAGATATTTCTATACACAATTCAAATATTTCTATTCAACTGATATAAAGAAATTTGATTAAATACAGAAAAAAAGGAAATAAGAAATCAATGTCAGAAATTCAAATAAAGAAATTCGTGAACCTAGCAAAGAAACCGAAGGATGATTTTCTTTCAAATTCCCTTTGCTGCTACAAATTCTATGGTATTCAAAATTGTCGACCAACTATAGTACTCTTATCACACATCCATACTTGTCTTTGATTATTTGTTATCGTTTATCTATTGCCCAACCAATTGATGACAATACTACCAATGCTCGCGTAAATGATTGTGTTTTAGGACACCATTTTTCTTTGTTCATATTTTTCTCACTCTAATAGTTATGCCATGAGAGAATGAAGGAGGTAAGTAAAGGAAATAGTATAATGTTCAAAATGTCGGAGTACCTAAGAAACATCTATGGTAATCGACTAATAGATGGAATATTCTCTTTTTGTATTCTATTGTTCAACACAGTGAATCTAATCGTGTAAATAGAGAAAAAAGTGTATTTTGTTCTTTACTCTATTAACAGAAAAGGAGAACTGCTACGATCTATAATCCGGCAAAAGGAGCCGTATAACTGTGGTATTATCAGAGTTTTACGGAAAAACAAAGAGCAGACAAAATAACAATTACAATAGATAACGGGATAAGTCACGCCAAACACGAACACGTTCTCACGATGACAGAAATGCAAGTGCAAAGATTGGTACATAAGTAGAAACATATAAATTGAAATTTAAATTGACAGGATTAGCTATTGAATATCATCAAAAATTAATTCTGAATTACATAAGGTTATGTATTACAAAATAGGAAACGAAAAGGACTAGTAAATCTTCTTAGGCCTCGTTTGGTTGCCAAGATAAGATTAGCCAACATAAGATTAAATAATCTAATGAAACCTAGTAATATTATTGAACCTTCGATGATCCAATAAAAAACATGTCTAGAAGGCAAAATAAGCCATGATAACATAAGATTTGCGGGTCGACCCGGCACTAATACCAAACATCAAACAAAGTCCGATTATTTAGTTAATCATGGCTAATCTTCCCAACCAAACGAGGCCTTGAATGGAGTTCAGACCAAAACTGAAGTTCGGAGTGCAAATAAAAAGAACTTACATTTGAGGCGATGTCATCGAATAAACCATGAGCTCAAGTTGTGATAATTAAGAAGTCGAAAAACAAGCATCCCTTCAATCACGCCCAAAATCCCACCGAAGACAACATCAAGCAAGAAATGCCGGCCGAGAAGCACTCTAGAAACCGACGTAACGAAAGCCCAAATCCCCACCGCAACAGCAAAATACTCCACAACCACACTCTTTGCATACAAATTCAATACCTTGATAAGCATAATTTCTCGAATATGATTCGAATAGAGGAAGCAAAATGTGGCGATGAACGAAACCCTAGAAGAGTGGCCACTAGGGAAAGACCAGTGGTCAACGGCAAATGAGAGAAACATGTTCTTGTTGTAAACAGGGCGTGGCCGTTGGATTAGGTGCTTGATTAGCCCGATTAAGACGAGGTCTAATAGGGATCCGATTAGGAGGTTTATTAGGAGATTAGCGGTGGGGGTTAGGGTTACGGTTGTGCTGGTTAGGGTGGCGACGCCGGGGTTTGTGGTGAGGAGAATTGAGAGGATGATTGGGAAGAAGAGGCGGCCATCGCCGGAGAGCTCTAAGGATTTCAGGAGATAGAAAGGGAGGATGGGCTGAAAGAAGGTGTAGAGTTTGAGGGATACGGCGGTATCGAGGTTGATCAGGCGGCGGAGGACGGTGGGAGGGCTTGATTGCGGTGGTGCTTTTGATTCCATGATTCTTTGATTTGCCTCAGCCCACGACACCTGCTACCGCTCATGGCTTCCTAATGGAGATTTTGTAATTTTATTATTATTATTATTTTTTTCCCTTCTTGTACAAACATTATTTTTAGCGGTGTTCTAAAAATCGGTCGACGCAGCCTATTAAACGATCTTCGAGGTGGAAACGGTCACAAATCTTTACGGATTTTGGTGTAGAAGTTTGAAAATTCGGTTTTTGACATGTGAGGCGGTTTTAGGCGCTCTAAGGCGGGTTGAGGCGATCCGAGGCGGTCAAACCTTGGAAGCGGATCAAACTTTTGTGGCAAAAAATTGGTCAAAAACCGTTTTTTTTTTTTTTTTTTTTTTTTTTTTTTTTTTTTACTTTTTTAATTTAAAATAGAAGTTGGGCTTTTAATAAAAAAAAAAGAGTTTATGCTTTATTTTGTTTATGTTAATTTTTGTCATTAAATAACCTAATGATATATCCCTGTAATATTCAAGAAATATATTTAAATTCAAAAGATTTGCATTTTTTTTTGTATTTTATAACTATTTTATTGTATTATTATCTTATTATTCTTAAACATTTATTATGTTATTAGGATATATAAATGATGAAAATATAACTATATTTAAATATCTTTTTATATATGTTTGAGTAATTATAAATAGTATCTTTTAAAAATTGATTTATTTCTGAATTATCGTCGATTAATCACCACCGCGGCGATTAATCGTGACTCGGTGTCTAGCCGCCTCCGATCCGATTACCGCTTTTTACATCCTTGATTTTTAGTAATGCTCGCATAATTTTTTCCCTTAGTTATACTCAACGCATAATTTTTTTTTCTTCATTGCAAAACATTACAAAAATAATTAGGGACTATGAGTGAGAACCCCTATAGCATTTTTTTAATAGGAAAATATGCAATTCCCTCAAACCAAAAGTATTATAAGTTAAATCCATTTGACTTTCAAAACTTTTGTCAACACCTAAAGTCCAATTTTAATTAGTGAAACCCCCTCAACAAGTGTGATAAGACGAAACTATCCTTATCAGTAGTTTTTAAAGTAATTGCAATATTTATTTTCCATAACCGTCTCACGTGATTGTAGGATTACATTAACTATCTCTTTATATCTCCTCACGTTCTCTCTCTCTTTTTGTTACAATTTTTTTTTTCTTCAGATACATAAACCGCCGCCGTGCTCCTTCCTCCATATTTACACTGCCGACGTGCCTCTCATTCTTCCTCTTTTTCACACCACCGTCGTCCACTCACTAGTTCAGTGAAGCTCTTATGCTGAAATCGAAAACTCTAACGGAGACCAGTTTCTCTGCCGCGCCGCCAAAGTAGCAGCGACAATGGTATAACTCGTCTCCCTATTTTTCCTCTATCCCTTTTCTCACATCCACGTTCTCCATCAAACCACCACTTACTGATGGAGACCACTCAGCCGCACACAGCACCGGCGCTGGCTTTCGATTCTCCTTTCGAAGAGCAGACAAAAAAAGAGGAGAATAATCATTTTTTTGAGACGTAGCAGTTTTCGTGCAGATGACAAATCGAATGATCTAACCGTCGGATCGAGTTGATATTTTTATATACGATTCGTAACACATCAATATACCTTTTGAACAGTGATCAGAATTAGACTTCTCAAACTATAGATCGGATCTTAAAACTCGCTGCTGGTTTTTGTTACTGAATAATTCGGGGCAACTAGATTGGACACATTTGTCGTGCAACTGGACCGTTGGATGTGGCCGAAATTTGGACAGTATATTCCGAGCGTATATATTTATATTCTGTACGGAGGAAATTGAATTTGGTGCCTCCTAGCTCTGGATATAAATTGTGAAATTATCACAATTTGGTGAGATTTTTTGTATTTTTCACTATTTACTTTGATAGATTTTTCATTTAAAATTTGTTCGGGTCATTTTTGTTTGATTTAGTTATTCCAATTGTTGTTAATTATGTTTTTTTTTGTTGTTGAAAAGATGCAGTTTGAGTATTATTGCACATCCGATGAGGAAATTTCCGAATAAATGGTGGCGGTGGCTATGAAATGCACTAATGAAAATGAAGCATGCTCTAATAAATATGACTAGAATCAGTTTTTTAGTCACATACATACATAGTCATATGTGGTCTCACATATAGTCATATTTATGTTTTGTAATTGATCTGACGGTTTCGATTTCACCTTTTTTTTTTATTTCTTTTTTCTGCAGATTTGAACATATAGTTTCAGATTTGAGCAGCAACAATAACATGACTATAATCATATTCGAATATGACTATTGTTAAATATGTTCTATCTTCTCGTTTCAAGTTGACTTGTAATAACAAGATTCAAATTGTGATTTTTTTTGTTGATGTTGATTGGATTGTTTCCGTAATAATAGGAAATCTTCATTTTTTATATAATTTGGTAAACATGACTGTACTACACTATATAATCGAAATCTTTAAGTTGAAATATAAAAAAAGTGTGCATAATTTCATATCATAAGGGGGTCACGTGCAAAATATCCAAACCACAAGGGAGTTAAAATGGTATTTACCCAGAAAATAAATATGTAAAAGAAGGGAGATGGTATACTGATAGAGAGGGAACCAAAAATTATTTAATACATCAACGATCATTTGATTGTACTTCAAAAATCAGAGAACCAAAAATTATTTAATACTTCAACTATCATTTGATTGTACTTCAACTATCATTTGATTGCAATCCATAATTGAAAGTTAAACTCTTTAATCTAAACTGATTTCATTATTTGATAAGATTTAAAAAGCAATTTTTCAGTCATGTAAGTTAACTAGTTAGGAGTTTTAGTACACCACATTTTAAAATTAGAATTTTAGTTATGTAAGTTATAAAAGTTGAGAATTTCTGTCCTACGACATGCTATAATAGGTAATTCAATAATTGGTGGCATGAGTTGATATTTAATTCATAAAAATAAATAGATTAAAAATAAACTAGATGATGTGGCTAACGAGTTAGATGATTTTGGAGGAAAAATCTAATCCTAAATGTCAAAGACACCAAAATAATGGGAGAAATTTAACATATTTATTTATATATTTATTTTTGTTATTTTTTTGCAATAAAGAATCTCAAGAAGCCTAATGTTTCCATTGGATAAAGTATACCAAAATATTTTTTTTATAAAAAAAATAAGCATTTATTTAGTAATTAATATTTAACTTATATTTCATAGTTTTTAATTGATATAAATCGTAATCAAATTCATATGTTTTCCTTATGTTTTATATAAAAACGTATACACGGTACACTAGTTAACATTTACCTTTAGATTGCAATGCATTAATGAAATACAAATTGAAATAGAAATTTAAAATTGATGATGCTAGAAATAGATCACCTTAAATAGTTGAGATAGATGGAGTTGGGAGAGTAAAGTAGATCACTGGCTCATCAGCTAGATGGTCCTGAGATACCTGCAAAAAGAGAACACGTGAACTAGGCCGGGGGTTGATTCGGCGGAAACCCCTCCGACGCTCAAGTTAGACGTGCGGATTGTAGAAAATAGTTGAGGGAATACGAATTGTCGAATTGGTTCGATAAATAGGGCGTACCTTTAATAAATGAATTATGTCGTTATTTATACCTTGCCGATTGGGATGTGGTTAATTTGTTGGGCAAAACCTTATTTGAAGGTAATTGGGCTTTCGTAATAGTATTCTTCTAGATCGGGCTCGTGGCCCAGTACGTAGAGAAATAGTAGGCTAATTGGGCTGACCCAATTAGACATATCATTAGTCCCCCACTCTCGAGTCCATGTGGGAGCCAAGTCGAAAAGGGTACCAGATCGTGTCGAGAGTAGATCGGTGTTGTAGTGTTAATCGTTGGTGTGGCGTGGAAAAATAATAATTAGTATTTATCCATTTGAGAGCGCGTGCGATTTGGTGAGGCACGTTGGAGAGTGCGTGCGATTCGGTGGAGCGCGTTGAAATTCACGCGCGATTTGGTGAAGCGCGTAAAAATCTGGGCGCGATTTAGTGGAGCGCGTTAAAATTTGCGCGTGATTTGATATGGAGGGGAGCTGACGCGTGATTGTATGGTGGGAGACGGGGGCCGCGCGATTTGGATGGTTGGGGGAGGGGACACGATTGGATGTAGACCTGACCACGGTTCGGTTCGGTTTGGTTCTGGTTCCGGTTGCAAACTGCCGGTTCCGGTTCCGATTTTGGAGGAACCGGAACCGAACTGAAAAAATCCGGTTCCTTGCGGTTCGGTTCCTAACCGGTTCCGGTTTGGTTCCGGTTCGGTTCCCGGTTAGAACCCGTAGAACCGCCGGTTCTTAATAATATTTTATTTTATTTTATTTTATATATATATATATATATAAATACTTTAAAAACCTTAAAAAAAAACACTTTTAAAAATAGTTTTTTTTAAAGTGGAAAGTATATTTAAGAAACTTAATTTTTTT